TTCTTTTGTTTGCTAGCATGAACATCGTTCCCACACTGCACTGGTCCGGAGGTGGCAACCTTTTTCAAGTGCTCTGCTTTCAGGCGGGACTCTCAAGTTCAGCTCATCCATTTCCAGTGGCCCAAGGCTCAGCCTCCCACCTCCCACTCTGATGTATGCATTTGCCTTCAGGCAGTCCCAGTTTCTAAGCACTGGCTTACACTTCACGCTCAGTTTTCAGTTTACTCTTCTTTTTTAAATGCCTTTGGGATTTCTCTTACTTTCTTGCAACCTAAGCTGTGTATTAAAAATAAGCTCATTGTCATTTATCCAAGTCCTGGGAGTATTACGTAAAGAAGGCTTTTTAGAGCATCTAGTGTATACTGCTAGATGCAGAAGCCAAGAGTAATCTTTTTTTTTTTTTTTTTTTTTTTAAAGATTTTATTTATTTGACACACAGAGAGAGAAATCACAAGCAGGCAGAGAGGCAGGCAGAGAGAGAGAGAGAGGAGGAAACAGGCTCCCCGCTCAGCAGAGAGCCCATGCGGGGCTCGATCCCAGGACCCCGAGATCATGACCCGAGCCGAAGGCAGAGGCTTTAACCCACTGAGCCACCCAGGCGCCCCATCCCAAGAGTAATCTTTAAAATCATAAAGTAGCTTGCATTGCTTTCCGCAACTTTGCCTCACCCTTAACAACAGCACCAGCTATCCTGGCCTACCTCATTCATGGTTCAGCTCCAGTCACCGGCCACTGTCGCCTGACTGTGTCTCAAGCCTAGTGACCTTATTCCTACTTTAGAGCCTCTGACTTGTGGCTCCCCCTGTGTGGCATGGGACCTCCCCCCTTTCTTCTGATCTCACCTTATTTTTATTTTTTGGAAGATTGTGTTTATTTATTTATTTAGGGAGCTGGGGGAGGGGCAGAAGAAGAGGGAGAAAATCCCAAGAGGACTCCACACCCAGCGCAGAGCCTGACATGGGGCTCAACCCCGTGACCCTGAGATTGTGACCTGAGCTGAAACAAGAGTCAGCCACCCAGCCGACAGTGCCACCCAGATGCCACCCCCCATCTCACTTTATTTTTTTTAAAGATTTTTTATTCATTTATTTGACAGATAGAGATCATAAGTAGGCAGACAGGCAGGCAGAGAGAGAGGAGGAAGCAGGCTCCCCGCTGAGCAGAGAGCCCGATGCGGGGCTTGATCCCAGAACCCTGTGATCATGACCTGAGCCGAAGGCAGAGGCTTAATCCACTGAGCCACCCAGGCGCCCCCCCATCTCACTTTAAATGCCACGTTTTCACAGCTGCCTTCCTCGATCAGCCTCTCCATGTCTCCCTCACATCATCATGTTCTCATTTTCTCGAGGGCACCTATTCTTAGATGACATTTCCCTGCCAATGGTCTCTTTTCCTACTAGAACCCAAGACCTCTAAGCGCAGGGACCTTGCTCGTCTGGTTTACCACCATCTTCTCAGGATTTAGAACAGTTCCTGGCACACAGGAGGGACTCAGTACACGTTTATTGAATGACGAGAACTGAGTATTAGCTATTTATTCTTTTTAGACGGGACCTGGGCCTCCTAGTGCTCCACAGTGCCCGTTACTCCCTGCCCCATCTCGTTCTGCTATGTTAGTTCACATATCTACCTGGCCGCTCTAGGCATCTGATTTTTCAATCCCTGCTGATGTCACTCTAATTATCCTCAGTATTTATTTATTTATTTTTAAAGATTTTATTTATTTGACAGTGAGAGACACAGCGAGAGAGGGAACACAAGCGGAGGGAGTGGGAGAGGGAGAAGCAGGCTTCCTGCCGAGCAGACAGCCTGATGCAGGGCTCTATCCCAGGACCCTGGTACCATGACCTGGGCCGAAGGCAGACGCCTAACGACTGAGTCACCCAGGCGCCCCCATCCTCAGTATTTTGAAAGCAGAAACCATGTTTTGTGTTTCTTTTCTTCTAGGTCTTGAATGTCATGAATGTAGAAGAGGGTAAGGAATTCACATTCATTGAATATCTCTGACCAGTGAGGCATAACAACGCTCTAACTTGATGTATATCCTCACAACACTGTGGGGCCAGGTATTATTACTTGTGTCCATTTTATACATAAGGACACTGAGGCTGAGAGGTGTTCAGAATCCTATAGTAAGTGACAGAGGGGGCACCGGAGCCCGCCTAGACAGCACACATTCAACATGAATAGCTGGGAAAGGCTTGCTCGTGGCCGAGGAGCAGGTGGCTGTTTTCAGTTTGCCGAGTGGACACTGAGCAATTTATTATTTCAGGTCAAGTTTTACTTAAGCAGTCTGGCTGTTTACTTGCTGATTTCATTCTGCTGAGTATATGAACATTCAGTTTTAGGTATGTCTATACCGGCTAGAAGAGGTTTGGGGATTTTTTTTAAGATTTTATTTATTTTTTTGACAGAGAGAGAGACATTGAGAGAGGGAACACAAGCAGGGGGAGTGGGAGGGGGAGAAGCCGGCTTCCTGCCAAGCAGGGAGCCTGATGCGGGTCTTGATCTCAGGACACTGGGATCATGACTGGAGCAGAAGGCAGATGCTTAACAACTGAGCCACCCAGGCGCCCCAGGTCTGGGGATGTTAATCATGCCTTCTAAATGAGGGTCCTGCCTACCTAATAAATGTCTGCTGTTGGTGAACATTATGGAATCTGACAGAAAGGAGATTTTTTTTCTTTCTTTTTAATTTGTTTTCTTGCTATTAGAGAGAGAGCGAGCATGTGCACGCATGTGTGCACACGCAAGTGTGGGGGGGAGGGTCAGAGGGAGAGGATCTCAAGCAACTTCCACACTCAGTGTGGAGCCTGACGCAGTGCTGGATCTCTCCACCCCGAGATCACAAGCTGAGCTGAAATCAAGAGTTGGACGCTTCACCGACAGAACCACCCAGGGGCACCGCACAAAGGAGTTTTTCTGAATTGTAGATGTTTTGGTCAAATCATGGTGTTGTCACTGGCTCACCAGGCGAAGACACTGAATGCGATGAATGTGTGTGCCATATCACCAAGCCCTCTTTTAAATAACAAAATCTTATTTTTATTTTTATTTTTTACAGAAATTCAGATATTCCAACAAATTTCTTTACATTTCCTGGAACTTAAAAAAATTACACACAACTTTTTGGACGCAATACAACAGAACAGAATGAGAAAGGGAGTCACATTTTTTTTTTAAAAAGATAAAAACATACTTCTTAACACTTAGTGATTTACAGGTGTATTACCTATGTACAAATGGTACATCATCGATGACCCTCCTCAGAGCACTGTGGTATGCTAAATTACACTTAGGTCTTACAGAAAAAAATTTTACAAAACATTTGCATGTGGATAGGAAGCACTTTTTCATTTTCGTAAACATCACTATCAGTGATGGAGGGCTCCCAGTGGAATCTGTAATTTACACGGATTAGAGAAAACTGACACTTTCTAATTTTCTTGTAGATAGAGAGGTACCTCCCTTTAAATAAAAGATGAATTCTTGAAAAGTTGTGTGTAATTAAGTTTCATAAGGAGGGTGTTTGGAATGCAGGGGGAGAGCTAATATTTACTGTAACAGGTAACTCCCAGAATGGCTAATCCTTTAGAGATAATAAGTATTTCCTTAATCTGGTTCTTTAGAAAACCCACATCTTTGTGATTTGGGGTTCACTCATTTGAGAATATCTGTAATATATTCTTAGCCATTTAAAACATAATCTCATTTAGGGTGAAAAGATAGCTAGTACCAGAAACATTTGGTAAAAATGGGAGTGTTGTCTGTAGAGAGACAGGGAACAAGAAATCAGCTCCTATCTGTATCACTTCTTGTCTTATCCTCCCTCTGGCGTTCCAGGGATGTATATTAGTTCGATCGTAATTTTGAGTTTAAAAATGAAGGCATTCTACGTTTCCATGTTTTACTCAGGTATAGAGCATGGTTTGGCTCACACTGATTACCCCTCTGGCATGTACGTTTTAGCTTGTGCCCATTCTCAAGAAGTTGGCTACTACAGTATTACGTATTTTTCTGCATATCGGTGAGATATGTGATGAGGGTTATGGTGGGGGAAGCCTGGGAGCAAAAGATTGTTGAAGACAAGTGACCAGTTGGAACTACTTCCAAATATCAACCAACTCAAAGAAATCTGAGTATTCTTGAAACCAACATTAGTAAACAAACAGGCAACTTACTCCTACCAAGTTTCTTGACCTGTATAAGTATATATTCATTTATTTCTAAGGCTATTAAATTATTATTTATTTTGTTAGTACCACTTACTATCATTTAGAAATAGGCTTAATGGAATGATTTTTTTTTAAAACAAAAATGAGACCTGTTAGTAAGGGAAAAAAAGGCTATGGATTTCTGATGACAAGTACAGCAAAGAAATAGAGAAAAAAAAAAGGAGAGCTTTTAGATGCCTATTTATAAAGTATATTAAATTCTTATGTAGGGAGAATTAGAAAAAAAGTGTTTATTTGATAGCAGCCTATATATTACATGTGAGCATCCAAGGTGAAAATGAGCTTTCTATATTTTTCAGAGTTCCCTGATGCTGTTTCCTGAAAGATAGGGATAGCTAGGTTGCTCAGGGACCTATGATGTAAAGATGTACTTCCTGTAATATACAGCTTGATGGAGTTCTAGTATATGTCAGAAACACTTTCTCAGTAATAACTTGTACAGACAGATTAAACTGAACACAGACTCTGTAAAAAGTTTGAAGTGTTACATCTCTGAACTGAGTGGTTTTACTAATTACACAGTGAAATAAACGCACGGCAGAGATGGAGAACCAAAGATCATGGCTCCTGTGAAAATACGCTGAGGCATTTTCCTAAGCTGCCTTCCTCTGTAAAATGATGCTTGATCAGCCTCTTGGCTATTGAGATAGGAATAATTTAGGATTGACTGCCTTTTTTTAAAAGAAGGTTGAAAGATTAAAGCTTTTTGTTTTCGGTTTGATTAAAAAAGGACAGTTTACAAACCTCAGTACATATATATTTTACATGTTAATTCTAGCACATTAATATTCCTTTCTCTTAAAATATTTCCTGAATGTGACTTCTCATGAATGTGATCTGATCTTATTCGACGATATCTTCCCATGAGCTGATGTTTAATCCATTATCACATCTCCTTCCAGAAAATCACTGCCATCTCTGCCGGTCCAGATTTAGAAGGTGCCTTGACAAGTAGATGGTTCACTCTCATCCAGATCTGTCTCTGTACTCTGATTTCTCGCAAGTCTTCCTTCTTGATGTTGATGTACAAAAGCTCTTATTCGATTTGTTTAGCTGTTATTTGATTTGTTTTGTGCTCATTCTAGAGAATATTGGCTTAGCAGAACTGCAGAAAGGGGGGGCAGGGGGAGGAGAAAGAGAAAGAGAGAAAGAAAAAAAATGCATCATTTTCTGTCAGCAAGATTTTTGTGCATAGCTGTCACAGAAAAACCACACCAGCACATGGTTCAAATGCACTTTAGATTTGTTTTAAAGAAGCCTGAAAAGTTTGAGGCACCTGTTCCATAACCAAACGGCACACAGTCTTCTGGCAAGGGGACCCCCCCATCACCCAGAAATGTGTGTTCCCCAAATCTGGGCGAAGATTACAGGCTGCTTTGAAGGAGCAAGGAAGAATGTGAAATGATCCCGAGCATCAACAATTTTTCTGCCTGGCACAGAAAATGTCTCACTTGAGCGTTTTCCTTTTCTTTCCAGGTGTTATTTATTATGCAATCAACATGGTAACAGCTGCAAAGGAGACACTGCTTTTTTCCCATGGATCTTTCCGTTCCGTATCCAAATGTGCCCTTTATTTTATACAGTTGGAATCACAATTTTCTGCATTTCCACTCTGCATCATCAGCATCAACTTCCTTCCCTTTTTATTAATGGTTTTTTATTTTGAAGTAATTTCTACACCCAACATGGGGCTCGAACTCACAACCTCGAGATCAAGAGTTGCATGCTCTATCAACTGAGCCAGTGAGATGCCCCACCAACATCAGTTTCTAAGAGCTGCAGAATATTCCATTCCAATCTCATTCCTTTCACTCCAAGCTCAGTATCACATTCTCAACTGTTTGACCACTGGCAGATGGTAGGTAGGTCCCCCCCCACCCTTTTTTTTTGTTATCAAGAAAAGTATCTTGGCATAGAAAGCTGTTTGTTCTTTCAACTTCTTTCTTTAGAACAAATTCTCAGGGGATAACCTGCTTTTCCTTTTGTCCAGCCCACTATTAGAGACTATTCCTATACTGATAAGATGACTACAAATAGTACAATTGATTCCTTTCTCTGGACGATCTCCATATACTTCGGCACTGCTAACCAGGGCTTAAGGGTCCCTTGTATGTTGTGAAGATGGGTAAATGCATCTAGCTGGCCAAATTTGGGCTGAAAGAAATAGCCTGCTGGGCTGTTTTCATCACAGAGTACTTAGAAACAAATATGATAATAAAACAATCGGTCCATTATTCAGTTACAGTCCTCGTTCCACATCACAAGATAAGATTATGGTTTCTGAATGAGGGCTAGAGAAACCTTTGGAAGATTCTGTCCTTTCGAGCACTTATCCCCTTGTTGTTTTCCGGTACACTTTAAAACACTTTAAGATATCTTATGCACATTATGGTTCCAATGAAATTCTCTCAGTGAGAGAACTCAGTTGCTCAGTTGATGTACCTGGACGACACAGGGGATAATTGAAATAGGATCTTGTCCTAATGATGATTAATCTGTAATGATTCTCTGAGATTGCATCACGCTGGTAGAAGCCCTATGGAAGGGAATGCTTTCTTCGGATATTATTAAAAGCGACAAAGGCAGCCCACGGGTTTTACATGCAGTTATAGGTGCTTTTGAACCTTGAGTGCTCTCTGCTCTGCTGTCCAGGAGCTGGTCTTGCTAGATGGAATCCAAAGTCAAGTTTGTGTGTCTACGATTTCAGTGCTCTAATTTTTTTCTATTTTTTTTTTCTATTTTTCTCTGAATATTTTTCTATTCAAATGCACAGAGCAAAATGTCCAGGTTTTCTAGTAAGATCCACGAAAGGTGTTAGCTGGGATGGGGGAGAGGGAGGAATGGGTGCCGGTTATAAACACATGAAGCAGAAGAGGGGAATGAGTTTTGAAAAGGTAGGTACGCACACAGGAAGAGAAGGTAGTACATGGAAGTGCCAGGCCCTATGTGGGTGATGCAGGGGAAGAGGAAGGCAAGAAGGTAGCTCTCATTTTCTGGACATCCACAAATAAAAACACCCCCAGTTTCATGACAGAAAAGCATGCTTTGGTGTGAACCATTGGTTGGCATCCAGGAACCTGAAACTCCCACTCTCTTTTTCCCTGGCTCTAAGCTGCCTGATTTGACTTTACGACATCACAGTGGGCTGGGAAGAGAGCACACAGGGGTGGAAGGGCTTTCGATCAGCCCCCTCTGCCCCCCAGCACTGACACCCAAACCTGAGGAGGAGAAGGAAGCTTTCTGCAAGGTGGGGGTCATTTCCCTGTAAAGATCCTGAGCCTTCTTGTAGGAAGAGAACATCTGGGGCTAATCTCACAAGGTTCCTGTTCACACTCCACTGTTGGGTGGTCTAACCCAGTTAGCGGCTGCCCAAGGTGGGTCAGTCACCACCAATCCTTGGATCTGCTGCCATCTTGGATTACCCATTCCGTCCACGTGACCAGATCCCTCACTGGATCCCTGACTGACCTCACCGTTGATTATTCAACCCTTCCCTCTTCAAGGTCTCTTCTTTGTTGACTTGGTTAGTCTCGGAATTGCACTCCCCACCTGCAGTGTCAAGGCTGGGTGGGGAGCCACGGAGTGAATGGGAATGAGAGGAGCCAGAAATCGAGGCTGGACTTGGGTGGCGCCAGGGAGGCTCCTAGGGTCCAAGACTGAAGGAGGCACTCATTCTCCAGCGAGGGCCTCCTGGGAATATCTCTGCTTGGAGTCTCAGTTCCTCAGACGTTACAAACACCATATTTTTTTCTTCCTAGTTCATGATACCACCATTCAACAGGAGTCCCAGGGTATTTGAGAATCCTACAGACTGCAAGGCTGAAAACAACCAGCCTGCTCCTGCTGGTGGTGATTGGAACACAAACACTCCCCACACAATATCAGGAAAACACTTTGCCGGGAGCAGCAAAAGGAGAATGCCCCTAGGATGCTTAAATAGCAAACGTGGTGAGAAATCTCCCACCTGAGGCTTGGGAAGGGCGGGCCTGCACACAGATTTGGGAAGCCAGTGGGTGGAGGAGTTGAAAAGGCCGGTTTTCCTCTCCGGATGTGGCCGTCATTTCTCCAGGCCAGGGACCCGGCTACCCGCGTGGTCTGCAGAATGGTGGGGAAGCCCTCCTCTGGTTACACTGTGATGTCCGCTTCCTAAAACATGGTTTCTTTTCCGAACTTTTGCTCGCATTTCCCATGCCCCGTGGCTATTGCATAGCTCAGGGGAGGCAATGTAAAAGATGTCATATCCTCCCAGGTCTGCACAGAGCAGGACTGAACAAATAAGTCATTCAACACTGCTTTGGATCTTTGTTCAGTCGGGTTTGTCCTTATAACACGTCACGGGGCTCTGAGTCGTCCGTGTTCTGTTTCTAAAGGGCTCTTTGCAAACCCTTCGCGAAGCTGTCCTTTGAGTCGCTGCTCAGGAGAGCGGCGTTTATAATGTCCACATTGTCCAGACTATCTAAATGCTGCGTGGCTGAATTTTCCCTGTGTTTGCGGACTTTGCAAGGTCTCCTGTGGTCCGCTTCTGCTCCTTGTTCCTATCAACCTATTCAATGAGGGCCCACAGGCCCCCACCGTCGGGATGGCGGGGGGAGGGGGCAGGCATCTTAGGGAGGAAAACGCTTGGGGTGGGAGCGGTCAGGCTTTCAGCAGAATGGCTCACTGAATCTTTGCTGGGAAAATGAGGAAGGGAGGCGGTCCAGTCCATTTTCTCTCATTGGCTGTACAAGCTTGGCCATTTCTTCCCACTCCATTGTTTCAAACCACGCCCACCCCTCCTGGGGCCTCCCGACATCCTTCCTCTCCCGGAGGCTGAAACAGGCACCTGGAAATAAAGCCTCGCTCTCTGTGTCCCCAGGTGCACTAGACAGGATGTGCCCCGAGGTGGGCACAGCACAGTAAAGGTGGCTGCAGATTCTTTAGCATTCTTCTTATTGGGGGTTAGGGGGTGCATGGAGGGATGGGGGGTGGGGCTCTGTTCCTCTCCCTTTGAATCTGGGCTTTAAGAGAACTGGCAGGGGCGTCTTGATGGCTCAGTCTTTTGAGCCTCCCACGGGTGATTTCAGTTCATGTCATGATCCCATTGGTTGTGAGATGGAACCCTGAGAGCGTCCAACTCTCCGCTCAGCAGCACATCTGAGATTCTCTCCCTCTGCACGCTCCCCACCCCCAGCTCTCTTTCTGTCTCTAAAATAAACAAAGCGATTAAAAAAGGAAAAAAAAAGTATTGGCAGTTTATTTTTGTTGTTGTTGTGGCAGAAAAACGCATAAAATAAAAATGAAATTCACCATCTAACCATCACTTTGAGGTATTACACAGTTCAGGAGTGTTTACTATACTCACATTGTTGTGAGACAAATCTCCAGAACTTCGCCATCTTGCACATCTAAAACTCCATGTCCCTGAAACAACACTCCTCTCTTCTCCCTTCCCCCATTCTGCAGTAACTGCCATTCCTTCTGTGTCTACCAACTAGTTGGACAACTTGAAATGGCTCCTGGGAGTGGGGTCATAGGGTATCTGTCTTCCTGTGACTACACCGGCTCAAGAGAAACCTCCCTTAACTACTGAGAAGAATCTAAATTGGGGGTCTTTCCCAGAGTAAGAGTTATTAACGCACATCAGTTTTATCTGAGTGACCCATCTGTATGGAAGGGCAAACATCTGGTTACCGAACATTTGCTCTTCTCACCTTGTATGCGTTCCTCTGATGTTCTGGGCCTCTACCCCCAGAAAGACATCTCCACCCCATTTTGCCTGTCTTTGGAATTTCCATGTCTATGTGCATTCCCCCGGCGTACACCTATTAAATTTGATTTTCTCCTGTTAATCTGTTGCATGGCAATTTGATTTTTAGTCCAGCTAGAAGGATCTTTGAGGGGACAGGAATTCTTGCTCCCTGATGTTTTCTTTTTTAAAAAAGATTTTATTTATTTATTTATCAGATAATGAGAATGAGAGAGAGCGTACAAGCAGGCAGAGGCGGAGAGAGAAGCAGGCTCCCTGCCGAGCAAGGAGCCCCATGCAGGACTCGATCCCAGGATCCTGGGATCATTACCTGAGCCGAAGGCAGCAGCTTAACCCACTGAGCCACCCAGGCGTCCCTC